CTGCTACATCATTGATATTGGTCCCTCACTGGGACTCTTTCTGGACATCCCATTTCAGCCAACTACTTACATATTTACATGCACTGTATTCTTTTCTTTCTTAAAACGAAAACCAAAAACCAAACAAACAAAACCTTACTAAATTTATTCTTTAACAATCCCATACACGTATATAGTACATTCTTCTTTTTATTATAGATAGATATAGATATAGATATATAGTGAGCATGTGTCATGCACACATGTGGAAAGCAGTGGGTACCAGAGAGGTCAGTTCTATCCTTCTACTCACTGGAACCTGAGGGTTAAACTCAGGTGGTCAGGCTGGGGGTGAGTGCCATTACTTGCTAAGCTATATCACTAAATATATTCACTATATATTTTATATATTTGTGCATAATGTGTTCTCTCTCTGAACCCCACCCTGAGTGTCTTTTAGTCTCTCTGCCTACAAGTCCTTTTCTCCCACCCATATATTCTCGTTTCATTACCAACTGAGTTTAAGCAGGGCCAGCTTAGTGTGACCAGGGCTTTGGAGCTATGCACTGGAACTTTGTGGGCTCAGCAGCCCATTCGGGACTGAAGACAATGTCTGCCCCTTTACCACATGGTGATGCCAGAAGATGTGTATTTACCACCTGCTATGTAAATGAAGAAACCCAAGTCTCTAGGGTTCAAGTCACGAGGTCCTAGTATTAACTGTTAATTAAGTCAGGATTTGAGTACAGGTTTTGCTGTTATCAATATTCTTTAGAAATTTTTATAATATTCATTTATGTATTTATGTATGTATATATATGCATGTGTTTGTTTAGTGTGTGTGTGTGTGTGTGTGTGTGAGAGAGAGAGAGAGAGAGAGAGAGAGAGAGAGAGAGAGGAGAGGGGGTGTATGGAGGTCAGAGAAAAACTTAACAAAGTAACATCTTCACATTATGGGATTCAGGGATTGAACTCGGATCATCAGACTTGGGGGCAAGCACCTTTATAAAAACAGAATACCCCACAAATATTCTGTTTTTCTTACCAGATGCCATGTGGGTTTCTCTGGGAAGGTTGGATGCTCCTGACCTTCCATACAGTGAAAATAAGGCCTTGAAAGCACTAATAACACTCTTTCAGATGTGGTTTTATTTGCTCTCTTATTTGATCTGCTTTAACTCTCATATTTCATATAAATATTCAAAAGAACGCTGACACTTGGTGGATGAAAATACAAAAAGTAAAGAAGAAACCGCTTCCTGGAGAAAGGCAGTCTGTATTTCTAGAGAGCAAACACAGAGGCTGGACCATAAAAACCTCATTAAAATGTGAATGTTAAACCTTTGTAGTTCAGCGCTCAATAGGAAACCACTCTGAAACCACTCTCACCCATTATGTATGGCTCATCAATCAAACATTAGTTTTGCTCTCAGTAAAGCTGCCATTCAGGGCACAGGTCTCCCTGCATAGTTGATTCTATGCCTCTGATGGAGACCTTAGACTCAGACACCTAGAGCAGCCAATGTCTTCCTCTTTTCTCCAGTTTTTCCTCCAAGAAATTTCAAATATTACTTTCCCAGGGAAGCCTTGCTAGAGGGCAAGTGCCCTCTAGCAAGTCTAGTCAGGGTTCTCTAGAAGAACAGAATTTATAGAATCAATCAATCTATCTATCTGTCTGTCTATCATCTATCTTATCATATATCTATCTATCATCATACATCTGTCATCTTTCTATCTCTTCATCCATCTATCTATCTATCTATCTATCTATCTATCTATCTATCTATCTGTCTATCATCTCTCTATCATCTATCTGGGAGATTTATTAGAATGGCTTACAGGCTGTGGTCCAGCAAGTCCAACAATGGCTGTCTACCAATAGAAGGTCCAAGAATCGAGTAGTTGCTCAGTTGCTCATCATCCTAAAGCTGGATGTCTCAACTGCTCTACAATATACACCAGAATCCTGAAGAAGTAGGCTCTATGCCAGTGAAGGAATAGACTTCTCAGTGAAAGCAAGAGCAGGCTGTCAAGGAGAGAAAACTTCCTTCTCCTTTGTATATGGGCTGCTAGCCAAAGGCGTGGTCCAGACTAAAGGTGGATCTTCCCACCTCAAGATCTGAATTACAAGTGGATCTTCCCACTTCAAATGATTTAATTAAGAAAAGCATCCTCACAGATGTGCCCAGTTGCTTGGGTTTTAGTTAATTCCAGATGTGGTCAACTTGACAACCAAGAACAGCAAGTTAGGGCTTGAGTGATGGCTGCAGCAACATGACAGATGCTGGGTCATTCTTCTCTCCATCGATGGTTCTTTCTATTCTGGCTGGTTTCATTCTCAATGAGGATGTCCCCATGCTCTGGAAAAGATTACCATCCTGCTATTAGTTTGATCATGATGCCCATATACAGGATGTGTTGGCGTCACTCCTCTTGGTCAGAATGATTCCCATGCCTGTCTCAGAACCAGTGACTGCTTAATTGATTGAAGGATGCTGATGCCACTCCCGTTAGGTCATGTGATAACTCTTGGGCTGCTCTTCCTGAAAACCCCAACAAGGTCCATGGTCTGAGAGTGGATGAGAAAAGTTTGTGTAATTAAAAAGAAGAATGGGGGCTGGCTGGCAAAACTAGATGGGGCTGCAGGCTTTGGCCCTTGTAAAATATGGATATTCAAATGTGCTTGGCCTATTAGAAGCTTGGTAACAGGTAGGGCTTAGCAGATGTACAAATCCACCAGGCTTGGTTGTCTGATGCCTTCCTATATGCTCTCTCTCTCTCTCTCTCTCTCTCTCTCTCTCTCTCTCTCTTTCTCTCTCTCTCTGTGTGTGTGTGTGTGTGTGTGTGTGTGTGTACTATAGGCATGTGAACACAAGTGTAAGGTCCAGAAGTCAGTCTCAGGAGTCTTCAAGCACCACACATCTTGTTTTATTTATTTATTTATTTATTTATTTATTTATTTAGAAACAAGGTCTCCTACTGAGACCTGAGGCTCACAGATAAAGCTAGATTGTTTGGCCAGAAAGCCCCCCATCTGCCCATCTCCACCTCTCCTGAACTAGGATCACAGATATATACCACCAAGTCTGGCTTTTTATGTGGGTGCGGGGGATCAAACTCCAGTCTTCATGCTTATCTTAAAATCACTTTACTAGGGGAACCATCTTCATAGTATTGCATATATATATGCATAGCATTTATATATGCTATGCATATATAAATATGCTATGATATATATATATGATATATATATATATATATCATAGCATTTACTGCAGTCTGAAAAAATTCCCACTCTGCATTGTACAGTTGCTTGGGTCTACTAACCAACATTTTGTGGTGATGCAAGACTCTTAACTATGTGGCAGCCTCAGTTGTCTTTTTAGCCTCCTGGAGTGGGTGTAGTCAGAACACTGAGGTTGGCAAAGGCAATTTTCTCAGTCCTCCATCACCCTAGTGTAGTGCCTGGAACAGAGCAGGTGCTCAGTAAATATTTGTCAAATAATGTAAATTCTCTACCAAGTCTTTTCCTTGCTGTGAGGAAGCAAAAACAAAAACAATGATAAGACATAACTGAAGAAATACTTCTTTAAAGGGGTCTCCAGCCAGCTTGACAAATCCTCGTTACAAAGTGAAGAAAATAAAACAACTTTCTAAATCAGTGTGATGGTTAATGTTATCACCTTGTCAGGCTCTAGAATCACCATGGCAACAAACCTCTGGGCATGTCTGTGAGGGAAATTAGGTTAACTGAGACAGGAAGATGAGCCCGAAAGTGGGCAGCACTGTCCCATGGGCTGGGGTCCCGGACTGGATAAAAAGGAGAAAGTGAGCTGAGCCCCAGCATCCATCTCTCTGCTCCTTGACTGTGGATGCCATGTGACCTGCTGCCTTATGCTCCTGTGTCCATGTCTTCCCCGCCATGATGGACTGTACCCTCAGACCATGAGCCAAGCTAAACTCTTTTACCCTAAGTTGCTTTTGTCAAGGTATTTTATCCCAGCAATAGAAAGAGTGACTAATACATTCAGTCAGCATCAAGTCAGGCTGAATGTGCTGTAATCAGCTCCCTACAAAAGCAACAGAAGTCTCACTCTTTGATACCATCAGGAAGGATGCTCGTTTGTGCACACAGGATTGTGCTTAGTCAAACAAAAGAGGAAACTCCTCAGCCCATATGGACAAGTAGGAAGCTCCAAGCAGTAACCAAACTCCAGAAGAGTGCATGCCTAACATCCACAAAGCCCTGGGTTTGGTCCCTACAGCACATAAAACCAGGTGTGGTGGAACGTGTCTGTAATCTCAGCATTTAGGATGTGGAGGTAGGAAGACCAGACCTTCAAGGGCATCCTCAGCTATATTGTAGGGAATTAAAGGCAAATCTGGGCTAGAGACACTCTCTCAAAAAGTAAGTACTAGGAGTTGGCCAAGAGGCTTGTTTAGACTTTTAAGGATTTGTATATACTGTAGGGGGACAGAAAGTATTTTAAAAGACATGCTGAAGGAAAAGGGAGAGCAGGAAATATTTCTTTCCCTTTTGGCACTAGGTAAAATTTTCATTGAATTTTTTGTTTCCCGGGGATTGTGTTTACTCTTCTAACCTGCCTCAGTGAGATTCTACATGTATCTGCAAATGGGCTGGGAATATGGTTCAGTCTGTGAGCTGCTTGGTGTGCAAGCATGAGATCTTATAAAAAGTGGGGCCCAGTGGGCTACACATGTTACCCAACATTGAGGAGGCAGAGACAGAGGACACCTGGGGCTCGGTAACCAGCAGTGTAGCCAAATAATGAGCTTCAGGTTCACCAAGAGATCCTACCTCAAAAAGCAAGGGGAGAGTGATTGAAGATGTCACCCACCGCTGATCTACACAAACCTCCACAAAGGCTCACATGCTCACACGGGAGCACAGACTCCCCTGTCTTCAGGATAACTTCAAGACTCTGTTGGGAGAACATAATGAATTTCTAGGGTTCTGATGGTTGGGACTTTGGTTTACATGAAACACTTTCCTGTATAGCATGACTGGGGGAACTGGGTGAGAATTAAGAACTAAGAGGCCATTGGCATAAAAGAATCGTTCCTCTCTTTCACAGGGAGAATGGCATTAAAGCTTGGAGAATGTACAGTTCAGTATTTCACCATAGTGGTCACCATAGTATCTACAGCCTGGCTCTCACACCAAGCAGTGCTCTTTGCTGGGCTGTCTGGGTACTTGCCTAGCATTTGGGAAGCAGTTTGGGGTGTCAAATGTTGCTTAAGGGCCCCTGAGTTAAAAAGCCTTTGTACCTGGGGTGGAACTAGGGAAAGTGGTGATTTCTAGTAAGAGGTCTTTGGTCATATGATCATAAGGGATGTGACCTCACAGGAGACTGCTGGACCCTGACTTCTTTCTCTTTGTCCCCAGGACTCTTTAGCCAGGAAGTTTAGCCCTGAATGCACTCTCAACACTCTGAGCATGGCCGGCTGCTCTGGCACAGGCTCAAAGCAATGGGGCAGCCAGTCATGGACCAGACTACAAGCAAACCAACCTTTTTCTCTTATGCGTGGATTAGCTAGTGTGCTTATTGCAGTGGTGAACGCTAAATAACAAGAGATTTTATGTTACTTAAGCTGTCCTGTAGGACACAGAAGACATTGACTTCTGTTTGTCTAAACTTCAGCCTGGGAAGAGTTAACTGGTTAGTAGGGATAGCCTAGACCAGCTGTGGGAATCCACATCTGTAATCCCAACACTGGGGAAACTGAGGCAGAAGGTTTGTGAGTTCAAAGGCAGTCTGGGCTATATCGTGAGACTCTGTCTCCATCCTCGTTAGAGGATTAAAAAGAAAAAAAAAAGTGTTGCCTACCTTGTCCCTGCTCAAGGCTCATGACTTGTACTTTCTGGTTTGGAGGGGAAAGAGGGAGGTTGTAGCTGCCTCCAGATCGGTAGCTGGGGTCCCTCCCCTTCTCTCCTCCCAGCCAGCCCTGTGCTCTCCCCCCATTCCCTCCCTGCTATTCCCAGCGGGTGGAGTCGTGCGAGCAGTCCTTATCAATGGGCACAGGCCTGTTAGCACTCTTGCTACCTCCTTTAGAGAGCGGCAGTCCCTAGCCTGGCTGTGGATCTGGTCGGATTGGGTAGGTTCAGCCATGGTTTCTCTGGGCTTGGGGGTCGCCCAGGATCCTGGACGCCTTGTAGGACGCTGAGCGGGTCGCCGAAATAGACACCGAACTCCCGAGTGGCCAGAACGCAAAGGCGAACAACAATCGGAGGAGCACTGGCACCATGAGCCTCTGGCTGTCATCGTGGTGGCCACCTTCACTGCTGCTGCTGCTGCTGCTCGCCAGAGCAGCGCACACTGTGAGTACGCGCCCCTCCAGGACGCGGACCCGAGCGACCAGCCCGCGTTCCTCTACTGGGTCCTAGGAATTATGGGGAGCAGTCGATCTCTCCTTGCTTAACAATGGCATCGTTCACTCTGTCGGAGTCCACTTCGGAGTCCCCTTCTCCAAAGGCAAAACATCCTGGGCTCTTTGTCCCAGGTGAGGCAAATCCAGGCTCAGACCCCTCGACCTTCACTCATCCCTTCCGGCCCGCTGAACCCACTTCTTTCCAGCGGCCCCACCAATGCTCAGTCTGCTGCACACTTGCCCTCTAGTGCTTCATCAAAACCCCCTCTGCCCTTTCTGAGACCCGGGTCACTCAGGCTTTACAAGCAAGGACACCAAGGCTCAGAAAAGAGAGGGGGAGGTTTACTCCATGTCAGAAAAAAAAAAAAGTCAGAACCCACATTCTTCAGGCTAGCAGCCTGACGATTTTACACGCTCCGGGTTGCAGATGAAAAATTTTAGAAAGCGATGAGTAGAGATTTTGCGTCTGTGGTGGGACCATTTTCAGTCCCGTGTGTCGTCCCCCCCCCCCCCCGCCCCCCTGGCCTTGTTTTCTAAAGTCTGTGCCTGTGGGCTCCTGGGAGCAGCGGGTTGCAACAAACTCAGGGCAGGAGAAGAAAGTTGGAGCAGAGAGAAGCCAGGGGGTGGTTTGTGTTTCTTTCCCATAGAAACCCTGGGAACTTTGGGCGGCTTCCCCTGGGATATCTGGAGAGACAGGCTGCATTGAGGCTGGCAGGATGGAAAGAACTGAGGAGAAGGTCAAGGCTTCGGGGTTGAGGACTCCAGGGTTACTCCTCCCGACAAGCTCTGCAGAGTGTGCCCCACTCCCCCCACCCCAGGTATGCGTTCTAAGAAACCACTGGGAATATAGATCCCGAGATGACTGTCTAGGTCAATGACTTAGTTTTCCGTTTCCTGAAGCATCTGTGCAACTCCAGGGCTGCAGGAACAGGCTCAGCTTTCTTTCTTTTTTTTTTTTTTTTTTTTTTTTTGTCTCGAAGGGATGCTCCTGGTTATTTCAGGAATAAACAGATAGGGAAACTGAGGCTTTTTTGGTTCAAGTCTTCACTGCACCTTGGAATGCTGCTTGTGTATAATCAAGTCCTTCATTTAACAGATGATCAAAAGCCCTCAGAGAGAGACTTGTTTCATTCAGATAGACACTGTCAGGAGCAGGGCTGGGACTAGAGCCTAGATTCCTAACTTGGGGGGGGAGGTATGCGAGCATGTGTGTGTGTGTGTGTGTGTGTGTGTGTGTGTGTGTGTGTATGTCACACACACAGAGGACCTGAGGTTTGTTCGGTCCTTTGTGGATTTGCATGTCATTTACATATGCACTGTGTGTATCTCTAGAAGAAGGCCTCACATGAGCCTCTGGTTATTGTATGAGCTTATCCTGACCTGTGATTCTATCTCTTAGGGTTTGTGGCAGAAAACACCTTTAATAAATGAGGGTGGAATTGACCTACTTTTTTTGGACAGTTTCCCAGCTTCTGAAACTTTTTCCTTTTGCTTGTTTGACTCCAGATAGTCAGACATTGGATCTTGAAATTCAAAGATAATAAAGATAATTCCTTCCTTCCTTTTGCATTTCCTTCATAGGCTTCTTCCAAAGAGACCGTTGAGGCTAAAACACTTGTTCCTTCCTGGCCTCTTCCTTCCTGGCCTCTTCCTTCAGGGGAGGTGTCAGAAGGGTCCTTTCCAAGTAGAAACTGAAGAAAAGGACGACTGAAAGGGCCACCTTTCGTTTTGTTTGCTTGTTTTTCCATAAGAAACTGAGCACAGTGCCTTCTCTACTGCCTTGCTCCGTACAGCTCATGAGGGCTTTCACCTGGGACAGTAACACCTGTGTTCCCCGAACTGTCCCACCAGACACATGCTGTAGCTTGAGCACATGTCTTGTTCAGTTTTGTCCGTAGCACCTGCCCCAGTGTAGGAGGGAATCAATGGGCATGTGCTCAGTGAATGGTGGTGAATGGCTGAAATGACGTCAGGCTCCACAGGAGAGTGTCTTTTGTGTGATTATATGAGTGTGCAAGTTCGTGTGTGTACAGGTGTGTATGTGTGGATGTAGTATCCAGAGAGGAACTTCTGGCTTTTATTCTCCAAGTGCTGTCCACCTTGTTTTTTGAGGCAACATCTCTCACTGGCCTGGGACTCACTGAGTAAGCTAGGCTGACTGGTTAGTAAGCCCCAGGGACATTCCTGTCTCCACTTCCCAGCGCAGGTTAGTGTGGTTGGTTTTAATGTCAACACTGTACAAATTAGAACCATGAGGCATGCACATGGTGCACAAATATACATTCAGGCAAAATACCCACACATATAAAAACATTTTAAAAATTATTATGCTCTTTATACTAGCTCTGTTGTTTCTTATTATAAATTTTATCAATGTATTTTGTTCGTATTATTCCTTACTTACTCTCCTATCCCTCCCAATTTATCTCATCTCTCTCTCTCTCTCTCTCTCTCTCTCTCTCTCTCTCTCTCTCCAATAACCCACTGAGTGTAATTTGTGCCACCCATATACTGGTGGGTGTGGGTAATCCACTGGAGCATGGGGAACCTTCCCGGGGCCACAACCCTGAAGAAAACTGACCCCCATCTCATTATCAGTGATTAACTGCCAGTTGCTCCTCAGCTATAGGTGGCATCTCATAAGTCCCTCCCCATCTGTGACGATATGTTGACTGATTTGATTTGTTTAGGCAATCACAGTGCATTGAGGTCATATGTACTATTGCCCTGGCAGGTCAGAAAAACACTGCCTTACGTCAGTCCTCTGTAACTTCTGGCTCATGATTCAAACAGGGTTTCTTAGCTTTGACACAATTTTTTAGAGATGAGTCTCATGTAGTTCAGAATTGTCTCCTATTCCTTATAATTAAGGATGTTCTTGAACTTCTGATCTTCCTGCTTCTACTTTCTGAATACAGGTGTGTGCCGCCATGCCACATGTATGCTGTGCGGGGAGATTGGAACCCAGGACTTCATGCATGATAGCAAGCACTCTACCAGCTGAGCCCCATCTCCAGGCCAACTTTGACACTATTGACATGGGGACCAGAATTAGCAGTTCCAAGCATTGTATGGGTTCTAGCAGCATCTCTGGTTCTCTAGATCAGAGGCTGGGAATATATCTATGCAAAGCTGTGACAATGGAATGTCTGCAGACATTGTCAAATGCTCTATGACTACAAGCAGGGAAACTGGCCCTGTATGACAACTTCTGCCTTAAAGGCTGTCATGTTTCTGAGGGGTACATCAATGGGACTAAAAGTAGGTTTTGTTGCATATTAGATTTGAGGTTCTGAGGTGGATGATAGAGAATCTGAGTCCAATGGTGGAAACAGGCTATTAGCATTTGTATCTTGTGTGTGTGAACATGTGTGTATGTGTGTGTGTGTGTGAACATGTGTGAATGTGTGTGTGTGGGTGTGTGTGAGTGTGTGTGTGTGAGTGTGTGTGTGTGAATGTGTGTGTGTGAGTGAATGTGTGTGTGTGTGTGTGAGAGTGTGTGTGTGTGTGTGTGTGTGTGTGTGGAGGTCAGAGGTCAACCTTGGGTGTCATTCCTCAGGACACTGTCCATCTGGGTTATTTGAGACAAGGTCTCTCAGTAAATTTTAGAACTTGCTGATTTGGCTAGTCTGAGTGGCTCAAGAACCCCAGGGACCCACCTGCCCCTACTTTCTAGCACTGAAATTTTAAGTATGTGTCACCATGCTTGGCTTTTTTAACGTGGGTTCTGGGGGATTGAACTCAGGTCTTTGTTCTTGGGATGCATCTCCACAGCCCTATAGTTTAGATCAAAAGGTGTGTGGAAGGCTTGCTGCCCAATACCTAGAACAATCTAGAGACTGCTGAGTGGAAGTTAGGGGATATTGTGACCCTGGCCCTTCCTCCACCTCTTTCTGTTTCCTGGCTACCCTGAAGTGAGCAGTGTCCTCTACCATATGCTCTCACCATGATTCACTCTGTTGCCATAGGCCCAAAACAACTGGGCCGAAGTGAAACTCTAAGTCAATGAAAAAACTCTAGTCTCCTTAGTTGATTTTCTGTGCTACGTCATCATAGCAGAGGAGAGCTAACTAACACATAAGCATACACAATCAAAGCCTAGCTCCAAGCCAGATACAGACTCTGCATTCTTTGTTTTCACTGTCCTGCTATTGCATTTTCTCTTCTTGACCCATCTTAGTTGATGGTTCTGAAACAGAAACTCTCCAACTTCAGAGCCTGACAGACAGAAGCTGAACCATCTTCCCAGCATGCCTGTTGGTCTGAACAGCCCAGAATGACTTCCAGAGCTAGAGTTCTTCCATTTTGTTGGCCCCTTCCAGTGTCTCTTCACTGGACCCCAGTCTCTCTTCTGTCAATGACACTGACCTTCACCAGGCTTTGGGGTTCCTTGCAGCTCAAGGTAAACCCACAACACTCAGATTCTATCTACTGGTTTATAATAAATAGAAGGCTGCTTAGCATTGTGAGGACTTGAAAAAAAATGAGAATATCCTGGGGCTGCTGGCCTCAATAGACCACTCTGGCAGGTGAACTCTAATGCGGGTAGGCAGACCTGGTCAATTGTGCCTGAAGCCCAGACCATCCTGCCTCTGTAGGAGCTTGAGTCTGTTAGGATCAGAACCTAGCCCCATAACCTCAGTTAACCCCAAGGACTCTATCTGGAGCCCTCCATGCTGTTCCCCTTACCCACAGCTCTCAGAGACACTCTCCCATGACCTGTCTATTTGAATCCCTGCCCTCCTGATTCACACTCTCATTTCCAGCCGATGCGTTTGCTGTCATTTCCAGAGAGTCAAGACTACCTGGACAGACTTCCTCGGAGTGGCTAGCTTCCTCTGATGCATGTGTCTACAGTGAACCCTCTGCTTCTTTCCTTCCTGTTCATCTAGGTCAGCCAGACTGCTAGGGGCTGAGGAGGTTGCTCTGCTGGGAAAGTGCTTGCATAGCAATCACAAGGACCTAAGTTGGATCCCTAGATCCCATGTTAAAAAAGAAAAAAAAGTCAG